TTGGTCAAAGTCTTTGAAATCGTACGAAAATTTTGAGAAACAAAGTGAATGACCTTCATTGAACTCGTAACAAATAATTTTTTGAAGGAGATCAATAGTCTTTGAAAGTCAGTGCTGGGAAGTGAGGAGGTCATTTCCGTTCAAAATCATATTATATCTTATTATATATCTTCCAGACTGGAAATTTAATAAATTTAGAGTTTTGTGAAACAACATTATAAACGTTCCTGATACTACGAAGATAAACCCGTATAAAACATTGAGTATAAGAAGATGAAATGAAACGGTCGAGGACTTTTGAATAGTAATGACAACGTTTTGTAGTTGCGTACTCTATGTGCTCTGGATCGTCTGCGGCTTAAGAGCCGTAGGTATCTCAAACTATGTTGTAAAGAAATTTTCTTTTTTGTAAAAAAAGTGAAAGAATCAACTTTTATGAATTAACAAAAGGAATTGCCTTCTGTGACATACGTGTGTCAAAACGCGTATTTACAAAACGTATTTTAAATAGTTGTATGAAATTCTGTATGTCTTGTAAATTAACGTTTTATTTTCTCAAAGTACAAGTAATCATTTTATAAGAATATGAATACAAGAGCAAAAACAAACAAAAAACACACACACTTATTATATAGATTGTGTTCAGAATCTAAGAGCAGACCGAAAAAGAAAACTTGTGAAATATTGTAAATACACAGGTTTTGAAATAATAAACAAAAAATCATCACTGTTGAAGAACAAAAACACATTCTAAGAATCAATCTTAGTCAGCACAAAACATAAACTGATTAGTATTTTATTATGACTAGAGAGGGTACACGGACATGCACAAATGAATGTCTGGCATTCATACATATAAAACAAATTCTTCGATTTTCTTACAACAAAAAGTGTTCAACACTTTTTGCGTGGCAAAAAACAAACAAAAGAAACAGATTTGGTGGTAACGACTAGAGTTTGACTTGAAATAAGAGACATTTTTGCATAGAAGTGAGTGTAAGGTGATAATGAGATGAGAAATTTTGCTGGGTGAACAAGCAAAAATAGGAACATGATCATTCTGTTACAGAATTTGAAAGAAAGATGTTGCTAAGCTGAAAAAGGACATAGTATGTTGCTTATTCCTATTCTGATCTCAGTACCATATGCGAGTTAATCTTCAGACAGAAATACACAGAGAAAGGAAGGTACAGCGTTACATCTCCTGATTCTCATATGTGACTCATTTTACGATGAAACATAAAATAAAAAACACGAAGATATATACATAAAAATGTCGATATTATTATCAGAACTTTGTTTAGATGCTCAAAGGAGAAAAGAAAGGAAATGAGAAAAATGAAACTAAGGCATATCGTTGTTTTTTAAAGAAAACAAAAATACTAAAACAACCTAGAGCACGAAAAATTTAAGACTAAAGTGGACGTCGTAGTTGAACGGAAGACTTCATCATCTGTTGCTGCTGTTTGGCTTGAGGTTGTGTCGGCATCATTTCATAATGAGCAAAACGTTCATCATCGTAACTTGTATTTTGTGAATCATTTCGATTTAGACGAGCGACTGTTTGATGACGTATAGTTGGAGTATTATGATAATCTATCGCATTTCCAACGGACGATGGACGACGATTCTGTAATGTTGCCTGTGGTTGTTGAGCACCATAAAGGCGAGATTGTTGAGGAGTTCGATATTGTACGCCGTATGCTGTTGTTGATGTACCATGTGGTGGTGTTGTTGCTAGTTGTGCCGTTTGATCGTTAACTGCAACTGTTGGAGTTATGGCTAATGCCATACGAGGATCGTTTTGCGAATTTCGAGTATTATAAGGATTTTGTGGTTGACGATAATCTTGTGGAATCGTATCGAGTGGAATCATCGCTGTTGTAGCCGGTAGTGGTCGCGAATTAGTAAATGGTGTATTTTGTGGATGTGGCAAATGCTGCATGAGAGCGGTGGCAGCAGATAAAGGCACGGGTACAGGCCTTGGTAAAGGATGTATACCATCTTGTTGCGATAGTTGATCTTGTTTTTCTTCTACTAATTTTGGATGTGTAGCATTCCAATATGAGTCCAAATATGCGGCTAAAGTAGAACATGCATCTTCCAATTGATTTTGATCCAAGATTAAATCGAACATATCCTATGACAAACAAAAAAAATGTTATGAAAAACCAACAAGCACGAATAAAAAATACAGACATTCGACTTAAGAATTGAGTTCGCATATTATACTGATATTTTAAGGGATAAAATTTAACAATTTAATTTTAATTAGAAAAACTTACTGGTGGACATTGTGTTAATTTATCAGCTGCTACCAATTGTACATTTAAATTTCGATGCTGACTTTTTCCTCTTGATTTAATCAATTTTTGTAACACCTATAAGAACAAAATCGTATTATCTTTATACCATATTGAAAAAGCAATTGTAATTTACTTTTGGTGATGCGACTTTGAGATAAATAATCAATGGTGTTAATGATGTCTTTTGCAATTGTGCCGGATGATTAATTGTATCACAATCCAGTACTACTAACTGCAGACTTCTTGCCAATTCAAATATTCGTTCGATTTCATCATGCACTTCTTTAATACCTGTGGCTCGACCACCACCCCCGCGTTCCATGAGCGCGATTTTTGATGGATTATTCAGTAGGCCACGTTTAGCTAATGAAATATCAGCTGTCACACGCGTAATAATGATACGTCCTTCATAACGGTGTTTTAGATAGTCAAAAACGGCTTTTTGCATCATGTCTGTTACATCGTAACCTTTCAGAGATGGCCCAACAAGGACAACTGGACGCATATTGGGTACAACATCATACGGGGTAATATTGACAGACTAAAACAAACAATCCATTTTGATTACAAAAGATATTAATAAATTATAACGTTCACTAAGGAAAAATGTACTATTTTCCACTGTAAAAGAGTGTATCTATTCATAAACAATATCTACTATTCTACAAATAATGATTAGAAAAGAATTATTGTACTAAATTGTAATTAGAAAACGGATACATTTTCTTTTTTATGATAAAGATTAATGATGATTTTATAAGTTTAGACCCTTTTTCGAAATACAATTTGAATGTATTACGTATCAACATTCAATCATAATGTACATACTTTTTTGAAAAATGTTTTTTTCTTATCTTTTCCAGATATATTTAATTTTGATTTTGTTATTGAATTATTATCTCCATCCTCATTTCCACCGCCTCCGGCTTCTATAATTTCATTTTGTAATTGTTGGCCAATATTTTGATCAAGAATATCAAGACCTAATACGATAATCATACACATTTAACATTATCAATAAAAATAGTAATCATAGAAAACACTTACTTTGAGTAGACGCTTTTATTCGAGATGACGATAATATTGGAGTTGCAATAGATTTACTAGAAATAAAATTATTATAGATAATAAAACAAAATTTATATATAAATATTTTAAAAATACTTTTTTCTATTTGATTGTATTCTAATTTTTTCCAGTTTCGATGGACTTGGAATGAAACCTAGTTGTGCATCAACATTAACCGACCGTCCAATCCACCAATCATTATCAAATTTCTATAAATTAGAAATAAGAACAAAATTATTCACATACATTAAGTTAAATATTCATCCTTTTAGAATTACATACATCTTTGATATGTAAAAATTCTTTTAACTTAAATCCAATAGCATGTTTTGGAATTGGGCAGATATCATCTGATGATGGGACATAATCAATATTTGTACGTATGGCAAACGCAACTGGTTTTGTCTAGAATAAAAAGAAAAAGAATTTTGATTATAAAAATTGTAGTAAATAGAAAAACCAATTATTATCTTACTTTGCATCGTTCAAGTGCCTCGTTCGCCGACCGTGTTTGATCACGGGGCTTTGTTACACCCGGTTCTCGTTCAGATGGATCGTCCAAACTCTCTGATGATGGTTGACTATAATTTGATTCAGCTGAACCCTAAAACGATAAGAAAAAAAAGATTAAATGTCATAGAAAGATTAATAAACTTAAAATATATGTTGAATGTAAATTTAAACGTTGATGTTCAAAATTAAAATTTTTAATTATACCTTGTCTAATATAAAATTTTCATGAGCAGACATCTCGATTTTAAAATGAAGTCTGAATTTTAAGCGAACCTTCAATATATGTACATATATATTCTGATGAAATATACAGCTGATATATTCTCAAACTAAATTCTAAGTAAACTTTTCAATTCACTTTTTAACGAGGATTAGCCTTTTCTATGAGTTTTTAATCGTGTTTTTTTCTATTTTTTTATTTCCAAAGGAAATAATTTTATCCAAGGAGAAAAGAAAAGCATTTTTCTTAATAAACGCGTTTAATAGTTTGTTAATTATGTCGAAATTCTAATTCGATATCTTGCTACAAAAGTATTTTATTCACATTGTTTCTACAGTATCTATAATCTCAAAATAAATATCAACAAAAAGTAATATATATCTATATCTATGTGTGTATTCTGTTGAATTAATTAATGATCATCTTCTAGTCTTTTTCCTTTTTATCAATTACATATTTGACACTATTATAGTCATTTGGTCCCTAACCTTTTACACTAATGAAAAAAAGAAAATAAATCATTCCAGAGATGATAAAAACACAAGAAAACGTAATTTTTCGAATCAATTTGTTTTCTTTTTTCTAAGAGTAGGTATTTGTGTATTAGTAATCAATCCAATCTATATTCTTATTGCTCTACATACAGCTCTTTTTCTTCTTCTTCTTCGTCTGTTAGATGATAAGGATGGTGCTGATAATGTTTTGTCAAGATACCGATGAGAAGCTAATCGAAAACGATGACGTTTATCTGCCATGAAGAAGAGAGAGAGAGAGAGGAGGAGAGAGAGAGAAAGAGACAAAGAGGAAAAAAAAAGAAATAAAGACAACAAACTAAATATACTGTTCCTTTCTGCTTCTGTGTACTCAAAGGTGAATGGTGTATTATTCTAGATTTTGTTTATAGACTGCTCTAGTCAAAAAGGAAAAAAAATCGAAGTAAAAAGTGACTCTCACTAAAGTGCACCAGATGTTACTGAGAGCCGAGACTAAAAAAAAAAAAAAAATCACTCTTTACTAATACTAATTATTCATCATTTCTAGGCATCAACAATTTTGAACAAAATAAAAATAAAGATTTTCTTTTCGTAAAAGATAGATTTGTACAGGATCCTTTACATTGATATATTCCATTCTTTTGAAGATAAAGAAATGAAAGAAGAAAAACCTGGTGTCAACAAATGATACAATCTTTTAATCCGATAGAAAAAGAGAAAAAGAAAAAAAAATAACAACAACACAGTCAATTCTATGATGGGTACATTGATTGATCAGAACAAAAAAGAAAAAAGAAAAGATTATTTTTTCAGACTATATTGTTATTACTAATGCCATTTAACAGATCGAAAATCTAATTGCACGTGAATGATAGATCAGGAAAAAAAAATAAGCGAAAATAATAAATCAATGAAAAATCATAAAAAATGTCATAACTAATTCTAATCGCATAGCAATGACTATAATTATACAACTATAGAGAACAAAAAAAAATGTTTTCAAACATGCAATTCTACTACAGATACTGCCTTGTTTTATAAAACACATATCTTTATCAGAAAAACTGATATTTACCGATAATAAACGATATTTTAAATATGAATTAGTACACGAAATTTTATGTAGAAAAAACATAAAAAATCTTATGGACAGGGGGAACAGATGTCCTCTCATTTTCTCATACTGTCACATCATCGAGCATATAGAGTCAACTAAATGAAAAAAATTTTGAAACTAAAAGACAAGTTCAACTTTTCTTAAATAACAACACGTGTTATGTATATTTCTCATCCAGAATGGGATATAGACAGAGCCATCCCACTTAGCTCTGTCATATACAGCTTGAAAATTCTAACTGAATTAAAAAATGTTAAAATTATATAACTTACGAGGGAACCTTTCGAGATGTAACCTTCCGATTTCAATTATTTGTACATGGATCGATAGACGTCACTCAGATAGTATATACCCTACAAGGATTCGTGTCCATGACTCTTGAAGATCCAGTTTTCTGGAAGATCACTTTTTCTAGAAAATAACCCAAATCTTTCTTAACGAGGCATAATTGTAGCGCGCACATTTCTGATTAAAATGAGAGATTTCCCAGCTCTACACGACCTTACCTTTCTTTACAAAGTTAAAGAATTGACAAGAAAAGCCCTAAATGTTCATTATTAGCTCAAAACTACAAAAATGAGAAAAAATGAATTTAAGGCTTTTTTTATAAATTCTTTAACTTTGTATAGAAAGGTAAGGTCGTGTAGAGCTGGGAAATGTCTCATTTTAATCAGAAATGTGTGCGCTACAATTATGCCTCGTTAAGAAAGGTTTTGGTTATTTTTTTAGAAAAAATGATTTTCCAGAAAACTGGGTCTTCAAGAGTTATGGGCACGAATCCTTTAGGATATTTACTACCTGACTGAGGTCTATCGATCCATGTACAAATCATTGAAATCGGAAGATTACATCTCGCAAGGTTCCCTCGTTAGTGAAAATGTGTCTGTTCATTTCAAAAAAAATTTCCAATCTAGTTGACTCCATATGCACGATGCTGTGATAGTATGAGAGTGTATCCAGCTAAAAGTTTGATTAGTCTCTGGAGTCTCAATTTCTGTAGACTTAATCAAGCAAAGGTAAAGAGATTCTAGATAAATATAAAAAATATAATCTTGTTTTGAAAACACGAGAAGACACATGGAAAATTTTTCTTTCTAGGATTGTCTAACATGAAAATTGTTTGAAATCTTATTTATTGAATAAATCTCGTTTTGTATAATAGAAATTGATTAATAAAACAAGAATAAATACAGAAATTGTGTTTGCATGAATTCGATCTCTCGATCAATGAAACAATTCAATAAGTTATAAATTTTCCTACGGTATTTTACTGATCTATTTCTGAATATTTGAGACTAATATGAAATAATGTAAAACGAAAAAGATCTTGTCAAATAATATTCTTACGTACCAGCGATCATCCAAATGTTTCAAATAGCTGATAAAATGTTATTATATTAGTTCGACTGATAGTACATTTTACATTTATTCTTTAGTTCAGGAATATAATAAAACAACCTATTCGTGATCAAGTACCCTGACAATAAATCAAAACTACCCACATATCTCATCCATTCATGAACGGAATTTTCTTCCGGAAATCATTTAGAAAACACACACACACACACACACACACAACTTACAGTCGTTGAATAAGCACTATCAGCTGAATATTGTTTAATATTTCGTATTGTCGACATAATTTGTTAATAATGAACTTATTATATTCATTGAAATTAATGTCAATCAACTTAAAATAATTATTATTAGTCATAACAATTATTCAATAATTAACGAAATTTCCTTCGTCTTAATAAACCACGTAGAAAATAATTTTGAATTAATAAATAGTAATTCATTATCATGAATAGTATTAGAATTCTTGTATTTTATTAGTGGTAGTATACATATGTTATTGTTGTTGTCTGTGTGATTGCATTAAAAAGCAAACACAATATTAACAAGAAATTTTTTTTTTTTTTTTGTTCCTTAACTTAGAACTACCTTTTAGTTACTTTTCTGTTATTCAAAATATGAATGTACATGAGATTATTATTTCATGGGAAAAGAAGAATAGAGTCAAGAAAACAACTAACGTTTTTCCTACATATATACATAATGAAAAGATCGTTTAGATATGGTTTTTGCATATTTAGTAAAAGAATTATTATTGTTTTAGTTATTCAAACGAGTACAGAGAGAAACGAAAAACTCTTTATGACAAACTTCTAAGATATACACATAGTAAGAAAAACGAAGAGGAAAAAGAAGAAAGAAAAATATTATTGTGAATGTGCGTGTGTAATAGATGGCATCATTTACCTTCCGTCTTCTAGATGAATGAGTTATTAATTACGAAAATTTATTTTATTCAATAAATATCTGTTTATCATGACTATAGTCGATGAAGTCATCACATCGAACTTTTTCTTAACTATCAACAAAAGAAAATCATGATTTTGCGTGTGTAAATACTAACACCGGAAATTTTATATTGAACAATCAATCATCGTTTGCCATGAAAGAAATAATTGTCCAGACTATATTCTATGGGTTTAGGATAAAAAGAAAAACACTACAATCATACGTTCATCGAGTACAGAAGACGTTTAATTTATATTTAGTTTATGTCGATGATCAGTCAACGGACAATAATCAAACCATTACACTATGAAATTATAATTTTCAAAAATAACAATAGAAATTTGATATTAGTAAATGAATATGAAACCGATCCATACTACATAAATACTATTCTGAATAGCAAAGAAAAATGCATTTATTACAACTTCCAAAAAAACCTAAAAAGCAACCATAAAATTCTTCTCTTGTTCATCAACGATAATAAGTACCTATTATAGAGAACGATGTATAAAATATCTGCTGTTACCTGTCTGTTGATACTATTTGAATCTGATGAGAGACTACTATCTTGTACTCCACCTAATTTTGATGAATAAGCTTTCTAAAATAAATAAACAAAATTAAGGAGATGAAATATAGGGGGAAATTATATTGATTCGCATAACGAGACTATCATTCACGAAGACAAGACTATATAACGGGTGTGCCATAATAAACTGGACTAAATATTACTGCATTTTTTTCGTATTTCCTCTTCAAATAAAAAGTTCCTTTACATACCAAAAGAGAGAGAAAATTTTGTACTCTATCGATCTCACTCATTTACAATCTTATACAATGTTTCCACTACGTCTGCTGATCTCGTAATTAGTTCTCAACCGGCTTTTCAATTTTTTTAAATTAAATTAATTTTTTTAATTAATAGTTTCAATTGAGAAACTTTGTTTATATATCAAAAGAAGCAGAATTTAATTCTATGTACGATAATAAGACTAAAACCCTGGATTCAGAACGTTTTACTGCTTTTATAGTCCAAAAACTAAATTCTGTGAAAAATAGGTTCAAAAGTTAGGTTTTTTTAGATTTATCAGCTTTTTGCACA